CGGGACCCACATAAAAATATTATAATAACGGGGTTTTGGGAAAATGCTCAGATTGATTTTACTGAATATATGAATCATTCTGGCTATTTGGGACAAGATCCGGAATAGTAAGATAGATTAAGTTGTGATCCTAATTTAAAAAATTGAGGTATTTATATATTTTCAATTGGGGAATAACCCCTTAAAGCACCTTGAAGTTATTTAGTTAAACATGTTTATCTAAAAGAGTCCTGTACTCCAGTATTATGGTCTAACTGGTGACTAAATACGTCCTGTACTCCGGGTATTATTATAGTTTAACTAAACGAAATACGTCCTGTAGGCTGTACTCTGATAATAATTATCAAATTGGACTGAATACGTCCTGCATCTCCGGTATTATGGTTTAATTGGAATAAATACGTCCATACTCCGGCATTCGTGGTTTAATTGGAATAAATACGTCCATACTCCTGTATTATGGTTTAATTGGACTAAATACGTCCTGTACTCCTGTATTATGGGTTAACTTGGGACTAAATACGTTCTGTACTCCGGCATTATGATTTTATTGTACTAAATACTTCCTGTACTCCGGTATTGTGCTTTAACTTTGAACTAAATACGTCCTGTACTCCGGTATTGTGGTTTAACTTTGGACTAAATACGTCCTGTACTCCGGTATTATAGTTTAATTGGACTAAATACGTCCATACTCACGCATTCATGTTTTAATTGGAATAAATACGTCCATACTCCTGTATTATGGTTTAATTGGACTAAATACGTCCTTTACTCCTGTATTATGGTTTAACTTGGGACTAAATACGTTCTGTACTCCGGCATTATGGTTTTATTGTACTAAATACGTCCTGTACTCTGGTATTGTGCTTTAACTTTGGGCTAAATACGTCCTTTACTCCGGTATTGTGGTTTAACTTTGGACTAAATACGTCCTGCGCTCCGGTATTATGGTTAAATTGGACTAAATACGTCCTGTACTCTGGTATTATGGTTTAATTACCATCCCCTCGCCAACCCCTGTTCCAGTTTATGACCAATAGTTTTATACCTTGACCTTCATTTTCCCTTCCCTTTCCAATACCTCATAACCTTCCCCAATAATAAAATATTTACAAGCCTCATGCCACAATAAATGTTTAGAGAAATTACTATTGCAAAAATATTCCAATTTTGTTATTTTTGTTTTCCATGATATTGAAATATAACTTCCCCGACATTTGTTATGTTAAATTTGTTTCACATCAAGATAATTTAAGATAATTTAAGATAATCTAAGATAATTTAAGCCAACTTCAAAATTAGACAAAATGTTCTTTTTTTAACTGTTTATATTTGTTAGAATCTTGTAAAATTTTAATCTTATCATGTATTTAAGTTCACATCAGTTACTTTTAAAAAACTATCTTGTTTTATATTTCGGGCTCAGTGTATTATGTACATTAACTATCCGATCTATACAATTAGAATTTTTAAATTATTTTTTCTACGTAATTTTATTGACGGTTAATGTCACATGTGTACAAATATACATACTAAATAACTTTGCATGTACCTTTCTTATGTACATTGATATTTAAAATGTTTTTTTTTGACGTTGCAAGTTACGATACAAGCATTCTTATGTTTATGAACCAATCTGTTGTACAATATGTACAAGATTAAACAAATTATGTACATAAGGCTTTATGAACTTTACACTGTAGTGTACAGGTATGGACATTGTACAAGATTTATTAAACTATGTACAGAAAGCTATGTATATTGAGTGTAAGCACAACTATGTACAAAAGACTTTATGTTATGTACAGTGTGTACACCTACATGGAGCTTTTATCTGGTAAAACAGTGAGTCCGTTTTCACTCCTCATCTTGATATAGTGTTTAGATTTCTGATTTAGGGTTTCAACTTCTTATATTGAAAATGAAAAAAATAGAAAATTAGTTAAAAAATTTGCTTTAGTTGAATGTCCAGAATTTGTTAGAATAAGTCATTATATTAAGCCAAACTTTTGAAGATTTCACCACTGAGAGATTAGTTAATCCAGCGTCAGTTGACAAATTAAATAAAATTTGATGAGATTAGCTTCTTTTCAACTATTAATTCAATAACCTTAATTTTATCTCATTTAAAAGTTTTCACGTCAGGTTTGTTCAGATATTATAAAGGAATTGTTTCTTTAAATATACTTTCTTGGAACTGACAAAACATTTATCTTAAACATTCTCGAGTCCATGGATTTTTCCCAAAATTGAACTGTCTGTAAATATGTAAGAACAAGACGTCACTCTTGTCATTTAAAAATACTGCAATTAATTAAACAAGAAATCTAAATTAAAACATACAGAAAAACTATGTAATTCGCTTAAGAAATTCTCATAGCTAATTCAATTTTCCTCAGTATTCATGGAACTTTTAAAACACTTTTACTGAAGAAATTCGGGCAGAAATATTTAAAATATGGTTCTAGATGTTTCTATATAGATGGTTCTAGATGTATACCTGTCAGGAGTTTTCTTTAGTGAACTTCTACCAGTATGCCTGGACGGGGATCTAAAAATATCATTTTAAGTTCACAACATTTTTTAATTGTTAGTTTTTGTTTAGGTATCAACTGCACCCCCTGGAACAATTTGTATCAGTTGTTCTCAGTTGAGCGGTGAGCCGAATCCTAGCGGTCCGATAATCTTATCTTTTCAAAATCGTCAATTCCGTGAAGAAAATGTCTTGAAGAACCTTTCCTAAAGCTCCTTAGAATGCGAACTCTAATTTCATAGTTTGAAGGTTGTTTGTAACACATATCGTCTTGTACAAGATGCTAGTTGAAGTGCCCGGCATTGCCCGTGGAATAAAAAAATTGAACTTTTTATTTTTATTTTTTTAGCCTATTTTACCACCGGGATACCCCTGGGTTCCCTTAAAAAATTTAACCCATTCGGTCCAGCCGTTATACCGGACATATATACGAATGTCTTGTTTTATTACAGATATATGTATAGAGATAATAACAGAATTCATTGTTTGAATTGTTTGTAACATCCATCGGGTTGTAAAAGATACTATGATATAGTTATTATCATCATGTTTCCCCAGTTCTGTGCAGTATCCCCTTGGTTTAGATGAGATTAAGTTTTCTATACCTGTGTTGACCGGTTTGTTGTCTAGGACGACCGGTTTGTTGTCTAGCTTGACCGTTCTGATGTCTGTTAAGAGATTGTACTCTACTGGTTCTACCAGGCATACTAGTTACCATCCTAAACAACACACAACTTAAAGGTACTGTACGCTTGATTTCAAGTGACCCTCCATGCAAAGATGGCAATGCCTGATACACAACGGTACCCTTGAAACTTTTTCTGATCAATAATGTGGAAGATTTAAAAGTGTTTATTTCTGATGATTTCTATATGTTTTCCTGTTGTAGAAATGCGCAGCTTACTTTTGTGGAGAAACCACAACCATTAAAAATCTGTTCTCATAATTATAAACATTGATATCTAATTCATTCTTGATCAAACAAAGCTTTTAAAGGGACAACATTGTGTATCAGACATTGCCATCTATCAATAGATGGTCACTTGAAATTACGCCTACAGTCCCTTTAAAAGGGAATGTTCATGATTATTTTTTGAATTGGGGTATATTAAAAACCCGTAAAGGAATAGAGTTCTTGCCTCAAACTTAAATTTTCCAATCCCTTGAACTATTTGATATAACATAGTTCATAGTTTACATCGGCTTGCAAAGATTTAAGATCAGAGTTTGTGGCAAAAATTTCATTCTTTATAAATGTTTGCCAACTGTACTGTTAACTCACCCCCCCCCCCTCGCCAAAATTTACCAATCGACTAATTTTAGATTTCTAGATTCAATACTTTACTGCTTGTTGACTTTTAACTTGAAAAGGAGGAATCATAAATACTGATATATTCAAAGTTAACAATAAGTTCTTATAATCAATTTTTTTATAAAAAATAACCAAAAAAATCGTTGTGGGGGGTTTCTTTTGATATATGGAACTTTTTCTCTTAAAAAGATACAAAATAGATTGTAGACCGCCCCGCCCCACACTTAGGTTAAAGAGATGACTGATCTCTATTAAAAAATATTTTCTCAAATTAAAAATATTGAATCTTTCTTTAAATTTTTAAGTCAGGCTGGAGTCAATTGATTTTACAGGTTTACCTTGACATTTTAAATCGGTTTAAATTATGCATTATTAGATACAGGGTGTCCCGATAAACATGGGAATTCAGTGACGATTTCAAGATCATCTTTGTAAATTCTATTTGATGTTTATAGAGATACATTTGTTATGTATTTGAATTCATAATGGCAACGAAATTGAGTTTTTGCAATAAATTAAAATAGGTCTACGACAACAGGTTGCAAAGGTTAAGAGATTAAAAAATTAGAGTTTGTGGCGAAAACTTATTTTCTTTGCAAAATTTTAAATAATCATTTTCAGAAAAAAAATCAAAACAAGAACTATATAACTATATAACTATATAACTATATAACTATATAACTATATAACTAGGTTGATTTTTGTGTCTTTTTAAGGATAAAATCACATCCAAGTTTTTTATCCTAAAGTTCCAAGGTTGCATAAGAAACACCGTAGCAATTACTTTGATGGAATTGAATTTAACTGAAATGAACATCTAAAATAACAGTTATATTTTCTAATCCTAAATTTTTTTTTCAAACTATAAATTCTGTTTGATAAAATAGTTTAGTTTAGTTATCACAGTCAGGTTGCAAATATTTAGGATCAGAAAATACGAGTTTGCAAGAGTGTTGACTGTTGAGATCCCTCAAATCCCTGTTTTTATTAAAAATGTCTGGTTTAAGTAACTTACCTTTTTCATGATACAATTAATCCTAGATCTATATTAAATGTCTCCAGACAGACTGTCATATGTTTATTATTAATCTGAAAACTTTTTATCCTTGTGGGAAAATATCAATATTTTATTATCAAATACCAGTTTAAAGAAAAACTTATTTTTATATTTACCTATTTAGAAATTATATCTTAATTTAAATAATCATATTTCTTATTATTTTAAGATTAGAAACTTCTTTATAAAGTATAATGCACATTTCCACAGACCGACCAAAGCGTATGTTTATGCATGCGGTAACACGATATACTTCATGAAATACGTTGCTTAACAATCTCTTACAAAAGAACAGAGATTTTAATTTCTAAGGTTGTAGAGTCATTTGTGCAGTAGATCGCGAACTGAATATAAACTGCATTTTTAAATCAGACAAATTTGAAATTTATTAAGATATAATAACACAATTTGAAAGGAAATAAATTTTTGCTCTTATTAAGTGTTTAGTGTTTTCTACGTTTAACGAAGAAAATAGTTGAAAACCAAGTTAAAGGTTTACTTAAAGGAAATAATTAATCACAGTTAAATTATTCATCGATTGTTACTTTTGTTCCTATTCGATCTTTTCAAACAAGCATTAAATATAAACCACAATATCCACTCTCTCCATATTTACATATCTCGATATAAAATTTGTCTCTCTCCACATTGACATATCTCGATGTAAAATGTGGCTCTCTCTAAATTGACATATCTTGATATAAAATTTGTCTCTCTCTACATTGACATATCTCGATGTAAAATTTGTCTCTCTCTACATTGACATATCTCGATGTAAAATTTGTCTCTCTCTACATTGACATATCTCGATGTAAAATGTCTAAAATTTGTTCATCTGAACAATAAGAAACAAACAATAAACAGATCTGTTTACCGAAGGATAGAAATAAAAGCAATTCAGGAATCATAATTTGATTACATTTTATGCTTCCTTTTACAACCAAGGCGCCGAAAGTATTTAGATTTTTAAACTTAATGTTTATCATGTAAAAATTTGTAAAATTTGTCTATTTCCGGAGAAGGATTTTATTTATAAAGTGAACAATTTGACAAGATAAATGTCAGACTTGTGATCAATAAACCTGTACACCATACTTTGTCTGTGTTCTTCAAAAAAACTAGGGAGTTGAGTCTTTGCCACAAACCCTGATTTTCTAGTCCCTATATCTTTGCAACCCAATTTTGTAGACCTTAGATGTTTCAAACTGTGACTTGTATGAAATAAAATAAACTAAGTATGAAATATCAAAATATCAAAGGTCTATGACATTGGGCGGCAAAGATATAGAAATTAAAAATAGTTTTACAAGCAGGTTGACAATCAACTTATCAAGTGAATTGGGACAGTGTGTAATGCTCATTGTTCAAAATCATAATTTGAGTCCAACTGTTCACAGTATTATGGGTTTACTATATTACAGATAAAAATTTAAATAGTTTTTTTATTTTTTAATAAATGATTTTACCGTCTATTGCACTAGACTATATTTGTTTATATTTGTTTATATTTGTTTATTAGTGCTTAATTGTGGACTAACGGTTGGTTGATAAACATTGTTTTACAGCTTATAATAAGGATAATCGAGGAAATCTAATCCTGCCTGATGTAGGGATAGACCAGAAATAATAGAGTTCGGAGATCTATTAAAGGCTATGAATATGCGATATTTTTTACAACAGGTTCCATTGTGTATAGGAGTGATAATATTTAATAGTTTTAGTAAAATAAAAAATGTAAATTAAGAATTAACATGCTGAAAACTTTAGAATGTGATATCCTTAATCCCGATCGGTTCATTAATCTAGAGATTAACAAAAAGAGGAGAACAAGCATTATTTAATCTGGAGATTAAGAAAAAGAGTAGATCAAGCATTAATCCCGATATCCACCATTCAAAAGTTCCCAGCTCTGATTAAATTTATTTCAACCTCTCCAAAGTTTAAAAAAAAATAGATTGTGTTTACTCAACAGAGTTTAAAACCAGTGTGTTGTTATTTCTTGTATTCATTTGATTCAGTTACAGTAACCGGCCCAGTTAATATCATTCAGTCAATTTAAAAGTTTTCAACTGTGAGCTTTTAATTTATTTGGTTTTCCTCCCTGACGCTTTAAAGTATACTATTACTACTTATCCTTTATATGCCCACAATACAGTATAATAGCAGTAATCATGATATAGGACAGGTGGAAAAATATCTCCAATATCTAAACCCAGATTACAAAGAAAAACACCTTTTTTATTTCTAGACAAAAAAATAATTACAGGAAGTAAATCCCTCAAGAAAATGTACAGTACATTATGCATTTTTTTTCCGCTGGGAATATTCTTAAAAATGTCTTTAAATTTTAAAACTTTATTTCTTCCCTGCACTAAGTTTTGGTTCTGAGATTAAAAACTGAGGAACAGATGCTTGCTACACTGTTAGAAGGTTCACACTTAAGGGTTCCAAAGTAAATTTCGCATTTTTTCATTCGTAGAAAAAAATTACAAAGCAAAGCTTTCGCATATTAATTACTTCACAAAATTCCAAATCACTTTAGCTTCCTTGCGCAAAATTCATTTTCGCGAAAAATGCAAAATTTTGCGAAATGCAAAATTTTGCGAAAAGCAAAATACTAAAGAAAATGTTGCGTTTTTTTTCGCAAAAGTTCTCTTTCGCTTGAAACCTTAGTCACAATTAAAAAAAATAGGGGAAATCAGACTCGAGACTAAGCTAGCTACAATTGAACCAAAATATGGCTCGAGCTTTAAAAGTTTTGACTATTATTAAAAAGTCAACTCTAATTTAAAACTAAAACTTTTACAAAACTGACCAAAATTTAAAAGTTTCTTTAGAACATACAATATACTGAGCAATAACTAGGTTATTTGAAAAATAAACTAAATTTTCAAAATCCGAAGAAAGAGAAAAATAAGTAAAGAACTACAGATAATATTTTTGATCTGGAGAAATCATAAAATTCCTTTTCATAACTTTTTGCTTTTATTTGTTGCTCTAAAAGTGCCCATTTTCTAATCATTCGAGAATTTTGTCGAACTATTTTTCATCGTTGAGTAGTTTTAGCCTTTATTCAGCTTTACTATACTACAGGGTGTCCCACGAAACATGACAGTTGGTAAATAGTTTAGAATGTCTTCTTTCATAATTTGTTAAGTTGTTTAATACCAAAGATAATAATAGACATATTAAATAGGAGTCATATTAAAGTAAAATTAACTTCAAAGTAAAATATTTTTGAGCAAAAGACTTTTTAAACAAAGTAAACTGCAAACAGCCTTTAATATCTAATACAGTGTATGGAAGACGACACTCAAAACTATTTACCAACTGTCATGTTTCGTGGGACACCCTGTAAGTTGAATTTTGGCATTTACAGAAGAAATATGTAAAAAACCGATCCAAACACGATCGTGCATGGTAACGATAGTTTTTAGGATTAAGATATGATAAAAGCAAACCTTAACATAAGACAGTTTTGAAATCTGTTTTATTATTTTTTCCCCAAGCGATCCATGAAACGATTAACACTCTACGATGTGAGTTGCCATAAAAAATTGGACCCGATCAGTTTTGCCGTTTATTGGATACAAAAATCAGACAGACAAGCAAATTATATAGATAGATACGATGATTTAAGTGTGTCATTAATTAATTATTATGTATGTACAATACTTATGGTAAAGTGATGCCACTGTACGTGTTATACCACTAATTCACGTATGAACTAAGCTAATCAGTTTGTATAGTTGTGAGTGGTCTGGAGGCCTAGGACTAGTTGTATAGAAAGCCTGGTATTTGAAGGTTGATAAAGTCCGTCAGAATTAATTATTAAACCATACAATATTAAACATATTTTAATTTAACTTTAGGCCAGGTAGATGACACTGACAGCTGGATATATACAGGGGGAGTATGTAAGCTTTAGACAGTGCAATGGGTTAATCTATGGATAGGGAGCCCGCAACCAATTCATCTTAAAGGCCCTAAGGGGTTGGAGTTCTTATTTTACTTCTTATTTTCCCATTTTTGTAAAATAAAAACTGTATAACAAGGCGGACAAAATTAAAAAGTACAAAACCTAATGAATTCTAAAAATATATATCAATGTGGGTAATTGAAGGAGATGATCTGAGACTGTTTTCTTATTTTTAAAATATTTGTTAAGGTGAAAACTGATTTTTTCCGATTTCCATCCATCTTACCCTAATCCTAAAATGTTTACTTTCAGATTTATTGTTTAATCTTTAGAGATGTGCACCTTCGTTTTTTTAATTCGTCCGTCATGAACCCATTTAGTATTTTTTCTCTCCAGTCGTTCTTAAATTTTAACACTTTTAATAGCAGAATTATCATTAATTTTTTCTATTTCAATACTTTTCTAAGTATGCAATATACAATCCGAAAGTCGTAGTACGGCAGAATTTCTTCTAAGCCTAACCCTAAAATGTTTTATACTTTCGGGTTAATTGTTTAATCTTTAGAGATGGGCGCCTTCGTTTTTTTTCCAATACGTCCGTCATGAACCCATTTAGTATTTTTTCTCTTAAGTTGTTCTTAAATTTTAATAGGTTCAATAGCAGAATTATCATAAATTTTTTTCTATTTCGATACTTTTTTAAGTTATGCAATATAAAATCCGAAAGTCGTAGTGCGGCAGAATTTCTTCTGTAAAGTTTTGGGCTCGAGACTGTAAACCCTAGTGCATGAAGGACATCATTTCCTTGATCCTTCTGCAGACCTGTATCTCTCAAGTGAATGACAGAACCCCAGAAAATCACATTAAAACTATCGTTTCCAGGATTCTAACATTTTATTTCAACGTTGAAAAATTCTCAGTTATTATAACCTATAATGGTCATCCTAGTTTCTTGAGAAAAACATGAATGAAAGAAATTAACAATTTAATCCTGTTAAACATTGGTATTCCTTATGCTTGCTGTTAATGTCCTAATTTAACTTTAGAAAATTACTTATCAATAATATCAAATTACCATTATCATAAGCACCAAAACCTATTTAAAACTTGCATAAATTTTCCATATTACGAAAACATGGGATATTTAAAAAAACTTTGACAGGGCGAACTAGCCGCCTTTAAGAGTAATGGTGTAAATGAGCACCAGCTCCAATACGTTACCAACAGTTGAAGACGTCCGTTCAGTGACATCGTTTGTTCAGTATAAGGTTAGGTTTACGGAAAAATTTCATGAACACTTTTTCGCATGTTTTTATCCTAAAACTTGATGAAATTTAATCTCTCTTTTCTCAGTTCAGATTTGGGTTTCAGGAGTAAAAAAGAGTTATTTTTGGAGTTCATGGTTGATATTTTACCTCTTGGATACGCATATTTCTGCGGAATCCGATTAAGGAAGCCAAAATCTTGCGGCTCCAACAGATGCGGATCCTAAGCACTGGTTTTATCGAATAATTATTAGAAAATACGCCAATGAGGTTGTCATACATGTTTTAACACTAAATCATTTTAAAATAAAAAGATAAACATTAGAAACAAACAATAAATAAAATCAAGAATATTTTAATTAGGTCTAGGTTCTTTTTATTCTGTGCCGGAAACATAAACTGTACAGTGCAGTACACTCACTGTCTGTCCATAAACTGTACATGAAACGATGCATTTAATATTATACAAATTGTAGATCACATTATTCTAAATTATCAACAATAACAATTAATCGTCAATTAATTATAAATTAACCATAAATCAATCAATCAAATGGCTAAGAGGGGTTTGACGGAAGCAGATCCACAACTACGTTCTAAAAATATATATTTTTTAATTATAACAAATTTCAATCATGAAAAATCTCTTTTTGAAAATCTAATTTTTTTACCTTCCGTTGAGGAAAATATCCTTGGGTCGAGTGAGACCAGTCAGCTGTACTAGGTTGGTCTAAATAGTCAAGAATACAGTGGGAAACATTAAACTGTGAAACAGAGAGACAACTGTTAGGACTCAAGTTAGGATTTTAACTAGTTTAATAAACATGAAACACACCGATTGTGTTACTTGATATTTAAGCTCCTGGTAAAACTGGTTTCTTTGAAACAGCATCATAAGGGGGGGGGGAAGGGGAGG